CCCCCCGCGCGAACGCCTTAAAACCTTAGCGCTGCTCTCTGTCACCTGTGCCCCACTGCCGCCTTCACCAGCCCCTGGTCTCCGACCCTCCCCTCCCTTGCTCGCCCCATCCGGGGGGACCGTTGCCGGAACCGTTCCGTGAGCCTTGCAGCCGCTGCTCTGTCGTCGGCGTGCTAACGTAGCGCGGGAACGAGAGGCGACGGGCTCCTGAAACATGGGAATGGTGTCCAAGTCGAGCTCCTTCCCCTCCTTCACCGCCAGGTAGGCATGGAGGGCGTGGAGCCACCTGTACACACCGAAGGACGACGCGCGATTGTTTACAATCTGGCGCATGCGTCCACCGTCAGGCATCGCTCACCAAACGCAACCAAAGCCAATCCATGCCCTCGTCCTCAGTGCAGCCGGAAGGGTGTCGGTGTTGCGAATGATAGTCTTGAGGGGTTCTTGCGGAGGGAGGTACGGAGAGCACCACGACTTAACGGACCGTGCCGCCTTAGCCGATGGGCCGTTCCACGACCTCAACTTGCACAGCCCTTATGCACCCACCGGGACACCCAGACCATGCAAGCCGCCACCCGTCGGACTTCGGCGGGGGATAGGCTGGGGTCTTCCACGAACGGAAGAAGCGCCGCGGAAGCGAGACCGGCTCGGTCCTTGTTGAACCTGGCGAGGGCAGTGGCCAGGGCATGTCGTCAGCATGCGTTCATGACACCAACAGCAGTAAGCAACACCAGTAGCAGGATCTGCAGTAGCGCTGATATATCTTCTGCAACGTTCAAGTTAATCTTCTGCAACGTTCAAGATACTATGGGCAAAACTTCTGTTTGTGTTGCAAAACACCTTCATTGCCCTTTTCTTCCGAGATTTCAACTTGGAAGAACGTATTTCTTGATGCCACTCCTTGAGTACAATGCGGCCGAGGGACCCCGCAAGTGTAGCTAGCCCCGTGCATCGCAACTTCTTCGCCGACGACATTGCCGAACGGCGGTGTGTTGTTTGACTTGCTGTCTGCCATCGGGAACCGTTCCGGCCTCTGCTCCGTAGCCTCTAACACCCGCATCGGTACAACTCTCTCAGACGGACGCCTTCGGTCGTTGCAGCAATATGAATAGACCTAGGAAGAATGAGCTCAACCACCGTAAATCTCCAACGTATCGCCTTCCCACCTCTTCAAGAAACCCTGCAGCTCCGGCTTGTTCCCCAAGAGGTGCGTTCGGATGTCGCTCCACCGCCTCCACCTAAAGAGCCCGCAGAACACAGTATGATAGGAAAGAGTACACATCCAACACCGAGTGAGAAAGTCATCGGCAAAAAGAAGCAATACTTCGCGGGTATGATTCACCCCTGCGTTTATATGAGTACACCCCCACCCGGGTTCGTGTTTTGAGGCGGTTCAATGTGAGGTCTATGGATGGTCTAACGACTACGTCATGTGTTTACATTGGTACACCCCGCCCCCCCCCCCCGGGGGGAATTCCGTGGCTTGGGGCGAACCAGGCCTACACACATCAAACAAGAAGTCGCACAACAAACAAAAAGAGCGGAATCAACCCACCTGAGCCCTAAGGCCATCACAAGCCCCAACATCAGCTTGCGACACGCCAGCGGGGGCGACTTGAGGCGGCACATCTCCGAGAGGTGCCCGAGACTGCCAGCCCCAAGGGCCCGATCAGCCGAGGCTCCCAGCCGAGCAACAACTTGAGGATCGGGTAGCCTGGAGCAGCAGAGCAGGGGAAAGACAAGCAAGGACATTCCCGCGGGGGGGGGGGGGGTACTCATAGTCGTGCATGCCGTAGTCGTTAGACCATTGACCTCGCATCCCTACAAAGCCGGGACGGAGCACGCCGGGT